GGCGCCGAGCCATAGACTGTCATTTTCAATAACTGCAAGATATTCCAAATATTGATATTTTTAAATGTAACTTTTCATTCTAATTCAGTTATCCTATATCCCCAGTGACCTATGGCAATTCTCCCCTTTTTATTTCCCTTAGAGGTTTATTATGCATCAAGGTCCTATAGTTTAGTAAACTGGAATTATTCAAACTACTACTCCTAAAGCTTTTCTTATACTATTGGTGACTCTTTAATTTTGGTGCCACTGGTCTGTAGCTCTTTTATTTATTTATTTTTTTAATAGACAGAGTCTCACTTTATTGCCCTCCGTAGAGTGCCGTGGTATCACACAGCTTACAGCAACCTCCAACTCCTTAGGCGATTGGGCTTAGGCGATTCTCTTGCCTCAGCCTCCCAAGTAGCTGGGACTACAGGCACCCACCACACACCCAGCTATTTTTTTGTTGCAGTTTGGCCGGGGCTGGGTTTGAATCCTCCACTCTCGATATATGAGGCCAGTGCCCTACCAGTTGAGCCACAGGTGCTGCCCCTGTAGCTCTTTTTTTAATGGAGTTACAAACAAAGGTAAGAACAAGAGTATTCCTGAAATAAATTTGTTCTGTCTTTTAACTTGAAGCCACGTTCCCTGCCATAGGTAGAAAACCCCTGCCTAACTTTTGAGAGTATCGGTGATGGTAGTGAGTTCTTGAAGTCATTATTGGGGTTAATATATGACAGTGGCTACTTAGTCTTTTAATTTTGGCTCAAAATCCAAGAGGAAAGCATAGAGAAAATGACTTTCAAAATAGTAACTAGTTTTAACATTTTTATTGGAGCATAAGTATTTTGGATAACAGATGTTTTATGTATTTCTTATTTCCACATTTTCAAATAAGTATGTATCACATAATGTTAAATTCTAATAAATATAAAGAGAAAAGAAAGAATAAAGGATCATGTTTACTAATAAGTGTTTTGGTTTACAAAATGATGATTTGTGCTGGTCTTTAGTTCCAGAAAGCTGACTCCGATCTGGATTACATTCAGTACAGGCTAGAATATGAAATCAAGACTAATTATCCTGATTCAGCAGGCGAGGTAATCTGTAAATTACATAAACCTTTTAAAAAATAATGTTTTTTGAGAGCTGCCTGTGGCTCAAAGGAATAGGGCGCTGGCCCCATATTTTGGAGTTGGGGGGTTTAAACCTGGCCGCAGCCAAAATAAAAAAAACAAACATTTTTAACAAAATATTTTATAAAAGAATATTCTAAAGGTATTTCTAATAATAATAGATAAGAATTATATTAGGTTTGTAAAATTTTTTTTTTTTTGAGACAGAGCCTTAAGCCCTGGGTAGGGTGCTGTGGTATCACAGCTCACAGCAACCTGAGCTTCTGGGCTTAAGTGATTCTTCTGCCTCAGCCTCCCCAGTAGCTAGGACTACAGGTGCCTGCCATAGTGCCCAACTATTTTTTGCTTGCAGCCATCGTTGTTTGGCAGGCCGGGGCTATATTCTAACCCACCAGCTCAGGTGTATGTGGCTGGTGCCTTAGCCTCTTGAGCCACAGGCACTGAGCCAAATCATTTTTTTTTTTTTTTTTTTTTTTGAGATAAAGTCTCAAGCTGTCACTCTGGGTGGAGTGCTATGGCTTCATAACTCACAGCAACCGCCAACTCTTGGGCTCATGTGATCCTATTGCCTCAGTTTTTCTATTTCTAGTAGAGATGGGGTCTTGCTTTTTGCTCAGGCTGGTCTCAAACTTGTGAGCTCAAGCAATCCACCTGCCTCAGCCTCCCAGAGTGCTAGGATTACAGGCATGAGTCACCATGCCCACCCCATGGGTTGTTTCTAAACCTAGGCTATAAATTCCTTGAGAATAGGAGCTAGGTCTTTTCTTCCTTTCTTTCTCCCTCCCCTCCCCTCCCCTCCCCTCCCCTTCTCTCTTCTTCCCTTCTTTCCTCCCTTTCCTTCTTTTCTTTCCTTTCTTTCCTTTCACTTGACACAGAATCTCACTCTGTTGCCCAGGTTAGAGTGCCATGGCATCAGCCTAGCTCATAGCAACCTCAAACTCTTGGGCTCAAGGGATCTTCCTGCCTCAGCCTGCTGAGTAGCTAGACTACAGGTGCCAGCCATAATGCCCAGCTAATTTTTTCTATATCTAGTAGAGACTGGGTCTTACTATGTTGCTCAGGCTGGTCTTGAACTCCTGAGCTCAAGGGCTCTTCCTGCCTTGGTGTCCCAAAGTGCTAGGATTACAGGCGTGAGCCATAGTGTCCACCCTAGGGTTTTTTGGTTTGTTTGTTTGTTTGTTTTTTTGAGACAGAGTCTCACTATGTCGCCCTTGGTAGAGTGCTGTCCTATCACAGCAACTTCAAACTCTTGGGCTTAAGCAGTTCTCTTGCCTCAGCTTCCCAAGTAGCTGAGACTACAGGCACCTGCCACAATGCCCTGCTATTTTTTTGTTGTAGTTGTCGTTGTTTAGTGGGCCCTGGGCCAGATTCGAACCCCTCAGCTCCAGTGTATGCAGCCAGTGCCCTAGCTGCTGAGCTACAGGCGCCGGGCCTGCCTTAGGTCTTAGACTTCTTTTTTCTCCACCTCTCATCCTCTGTCATATGATTGCAGAATTAAATATTCAGCAGAATTCAAATTAAATGAATGATAGACTATGTTGTATATACAATATTTTAATTCTTAAAAAGAAGCTTAATTTTTCCTTTTCATAATTTTTTTTCTTGCTTAGGACCTTTTTATAATTTAATGAATATTAACCTTTTTTCTGATGTAGAAAAGTCCAGTTACGCTGTTAAAGGAAATATCAGCGATAAAGTCTCGATATCAAACTTTGTATACACGCTTCAAACTAGTTGCTGTTGAGCAGCAAGAGACTAAGAGCCGCATTTGTGCTACTGTGAATAAGACTATGAACATGATACAACAACTACAAACGCAAACAGACCTAGAGGTAATGTTTTCAATTGAATTTGTATAGTTTTAGTTCTGAGTATTATTTTGAAAGATACATCCCCGGTAATTTACATTTTGAAATTCAGCAGTTTGAACTATTAGGAGAAATGAGATTTTTCTTCATATCCTGAGGTATAATAGCTGTCATCTCCTTTTATAATATGTTAAAATAGACGTATGGACTTGACATGGTTAATGAAGAGGTGTGCTGTCTTGGATTATATAACTATGGCATCAGAGAAAACTTGCTTGTACTTACTAAAACTACCATCTCTGCTGGTTCCTATAAGTGCTAGTGAGACTGAGAAGTCTGGAAAGCATCTATACCAGTTGCTTAAAAATTTTTAAGTTCTCTTCTTCATTTGACTTGGTAGGGATGAAAGGGCTGATTTTCTCCATACTCTTTCTCTGTTTTCCATCCCCATCTCATTTAGTGTTAGAATCTTTGTAACTGTGAGCCTCTATCACTGATATGTATACAGCTTTTCAGATATGTTGCAGTAGGAAAAAAGATATTAGCTGCTAACCTAGGCATTAAGATTTTGAACTGACAATTGAAGGATTTGGCAACATTTTCATTTACTATCAAAGGAAAGCTAGGGCTTTAGAAAAAGCTAGGCTGTGCATCGTAGCTCATACCTGTAATCCTAGCACTCCAAGTGGCCAAGGTAAAAGGATTGCTTGAACTCAGGTGTTCAAGACCAGCCTGAACAAGAAGCCCTGTCTCTACTAAAATTAGAAAAACTAGCTGGGTATAGTGCTGGGTACCTGTAGTCCCAGCTACTTAGGAGCCTGAGACAAGAGGATTACTTTTTTTTTATTTTTTTGAGACAGAGTCTTACTTTGTCACCCTGGGTAGAGTGCCCTGGTATCATAGCTCATAGCAACCTCAGACTTTTGGGCTGAAGCAATCCTCTTAACTCAGCCTCCCAAGTAGTTGGGACCACAGGTGTCAGCCACAGGCCTGGCTATTTTTTAGAGACAGGGTCTTGTTCTAACTCAGGCTGGTCTCAAACTCCTGAGCTCAAACAACCCACCAGTGCTAGGATTACAGGCATGAGCCACTGTGCTGGTACCAGAGGATCACTTGAGACCAAGACATTGAGGTTATTGTGAGCTATGATGATGCTATGGCACTCCACCCAGGGCAATAGTGAGATTCTGTCTCAAAAAAAAAAAAAAGGGAGGCTGGGCGTAGTGGCTCACACCTGTAATCCTAGCACTCTGGGAGGCTGAGGTGGGTGGATTGTCTGAGCTCAGGAGTTTGAGACCAGACTGAGTCAGAGTGAAACCTCATCTCTAAAAAAAATAGCTGGGTGTTGTGGTGGTCACTTGTAGTCCCAGCTACTTGAGGCTGAGGCAATTGGATTGCTTGAGCCCAAGTGTTTGAGGTTGCTGTGAGCTCAGCACTCTACCAAGGGCAACAAAATGAGACTCTATCTCAAAAAAAAGGGAACAGAGGGAATAGAGTAATAGAATTTATAACGGTGGTGGTGTCATATGCTAATAAATCATGCAAAAACACGTATATGATAAACTTCTATAAATATAACTCAACGACATATTCTTCTATGTATGTGATCAAAGCCTAACAATAGAAGCATATAATCATATTCTTGGCTCGGCACCTGTAGCTCAAGTGGCTAAGGCGGCAGCCACGTACACCTAAGGTGGCGGGTTTGAATCCAGCCGGGCCCGCCAAACAACAATGACGGCTGCAACCAGAAAAAAATAGCCAGGCGTTGTGGCAGGCGCCTGTGGTCCCAGCTACTTGTTAGGCGGAGGCAGAAGACTTGCTTGAGCCCAGGAGTTGGAGGTTGCTGTGAGCTGTGATGCCACAACACCCTACCTAGGGGGACAGCTTGAGGCTCTGTCTCAAAAAATGAAAAATAGCTAAATAGTGATAGGGGATTTCAATCATATGACAATCTGCAAAGGTTTTTATTTAGTTAAGAAATATCTGCCTGGGTGCGGTGGGTCACAGCTATAATCCTAGCACTTTGGGAGGCTACGTGGGAGGATCACTTTAGCCCAGATAACAGAAAGTTCAAGGGTGCAGTGAGCTATGATTATGTCACTGTGCTTTAGCCTAGGTGACAGAGACTCTGTCTTTTAAAAAAAAAAAAAGAATTGAAATGAACAATAATTTTGTTCACCTTTCTGGTAGAAAGCTAAGGGAGTTTTCATTTTGTATCAAGTTAAAGAGAAATGAATGAAAAGTAGGTTATAAAACTTGGAAAAGGAGGTCATATTTTAGAATTAATGATGGTCAAGTGGGAAAATGTTGGCTACAGTAGGCCTTGAATCTATTACTTTAAAATTGAGAGTAGTTGAAAAGTTCAGAGAAAGTACAGGTGTGATGCTTAATGTTCTCAGAGATGTTTAAAATTAAAAAGGATTATTAAGGCCAGGCAATGTGGCTCATGCCTGTAATCTTAGCACTCTGGGAGACCAAGATAGGATTGCTTGAGCTCAGCAGGAACTGTCCTGAATTAAGAACAAGACCCTGTCTTTACAAAATATAGGAAAATTAGTCGGGTGTGGTAGCACATGTCTGTAGTCTCAGCTACTAAAGAGGTTGAGGCAGGAGGGTTGCTTGAGCCCAGGAGTTTGATGTTGCAGTGAGCTATTATGATGACACTGCACTGTAGCCAGCGAGACAGCAAAACTCTACCTCCAAAGAAAAAAAAGAGATTGTTAAAAATTTTTATGATCCAAATGCGAAAAAAAAAAAGAAAGAAATGACATCTGTAGAGAGTTGCATAATCAGAAATAGCTCTATGAGCCCAGAGTTTTTAGGATATGCAAGGTAGAATTTGTAAAGACATTTCAAATATTAAAAGATATTTATTAGTAATAGGGATAGATCTGTGAGAATAGTTAAAAGTCAAAGGCTGGATTGAGCTGAGACCTCTGAAATTTTCTAAAATAACCAAAATGGCCTTTAAAATTATTTTGGGAGCATGAAGAACAAAAAAGGGATAAGTTTGCTTAAGGCAAATGGTACTTTGTTTAGAGATAACAGAAACCAAAACTGTTTAGATTATCTTGCTATAATCTTTATCAAAGTGAGCATCTTTTTCTACCCTTGGAAGGGTAGAAAACGTATCCAAATGGATAATACTCAAAAA